AATGGGACAGGGACGGGATGGTGTCCGCACCGGAGACACCCAGAGCCCAGGACTTCGTATCCAGGGTGTGGGGCATCCTGAGGCTGCGGGTGCTACTTACCCGCCCAGCTTGTAGTCACCCACGCCCCCCATCCAGGCTCGGATAAACGTGGGGTCTGCGAGCAGGGACACGGGGGCCATGGAGTCTCCGGGGAAGTAGGAGCCCACGGGGCAGAGGATGACGAACAGGAGGGCTTGTGTGACGCAACCGACGCCCAGCGAGGGCTGCGCTAGACAAGGGGGCAGCGTCAGTGGCCAGGAGTCCAGGCCCAGCCTCCGCCCTCAGACCCCAGCCCCTGCCCGTCCCTCCCTGGCGTCCACATCCCAGCCCGAGCCCGGCCCACCTCGTTCCCGATGAGCACAGGCCGCACATAGAGACTGGTGCCGGCCCCCTGGGGAGCCCAGTCCTTCTCCACCTCCACGAGCCGGCGGATACACTCCAGCAGCTCCACCTTGTCAAAAGTCTGGGTGGAACCCTCAAGAGTCAGAGGCCGGGGTGACCCTGACCCACCCGACCCTCCCTCCCACGCCGGCCCAGGCTGCTCACCGGCAGACAGAGCCGCTGGGCCGAGCGCAGCATCCGGTCCATGTTGAGCCAGGGTCGGAAGAGGCGGATCCGATGGTCTCTGCCTCTGTAGGCCTTCAAGCCCTCGAAGAGCTGTGGTGCAGATAGGCATAGGGAGAGACACCGTACACATCAGGTTAGAGAGGGACAGAGACACGAACCCAGGCAGACCGGCAGACACGGAGAGCCAGCCATGGGGACACACATCTGTAATCCCAGCACTTGACAGGCCCAGGCAGGAGGACCGTCACGACTTCGAGGCCACCCTGGGCTATACAGTGAGCTCAAGGCCAGCCGGGGCTACCTACTGAGACTCTGCCTGAAGTAAACCAAACAAACAAGCAAAAGCAGACAGACTGAGGGTGCAGCTCAAAGGAAATGCCTGACCACCATGTGTGAGGCCCTGGGGCCCACCCCCAGCACCATGAAAAAAGAAGTAAAATTAAATGTCACCACCTTCATGACGGTCTTCACCCAGAGACGGGCGAGGTCACGGGGATTTCTGCCCCACGACTCCATACCTGTGCATCTGGTCACAAGAGGCTGGAAAAGCCCCAGGGCTAGGACCACTTCTGACATAGTCAACATAGAAGCCCCTGTCCCCAGAACCCGGGGCAGTGCTTGGCATACAAGGGGCTTTTGTTGATTGAATGAATGAATGAATGAAAAATAAGTAAAAACAGCTAAGATTTTTTTTGGGGGGGGGAAGACAAGGGGCAAGATATTAAGGCATAAAACTACACTATATGGTAGATATAAGTACTGTACCCAGATTGAACAATGTAATAGAAAAGCAAATACCTAGGAAAAAAATTAAATTGAGCTGGGTGTGGTGGTGCCTGCCTATAATCCCAGCATTTGGTTGTTATGGTCCTGATCTGGTGCTGGTTTTCAGCTCTTCTTACCTAACAGGATCTAGCTCGGTGCGAAGACCCTGAGTTCAATGCACAATACCACACCCACCCAAAACAGCAGATAACCATCTTCGTTCATAATTAGGAGGAAAATGCAAATGGGAATTCCTCTGAGAACCTTTAAAACCACTCGAGAGACTAGAAAAAAAATCTCTAAATTGGAGAAGGCTTGCCCAAGGTTTGGAGAAACGGGCTTCAATAGCTGGTGTGGAAACCGACACTGCTACAAAAAGGCCATGTTGTAACCTTTCCAAACCATGAGAGGACCTACCCTCTGCCCCAGCAGCTTTGGAGACTGGGCAAAGATACACTTGCACAGAAAGGAAGTAATACATGCACTGTTTACAACTTTGTTTACAGTAGCACAAGGCTGGAAACACCAAAGTGTCCAGTCAGGGTGTCTGAGGTGTTGCTAGGACAGAAAGCTACAGGGCTGCCAAAGATGGCTGCCGGAGGGCACGTCCCGCTGCTCAGTAGCTATCTGTCCTCTCCTGCCTCCGGCCTCGTGCCCTCCAGGTTCTCCACTCCAGCTTATCCCCCTGTACACCAGAATCAACAACAGATCTCACAGCGCGGTCCCAAGTCTGCTAATCCCAGTACCCCGCACCACACAGCACCAGGGCCTGGAGCATGGGAGGCCTCGAAACACAGATGATAAATTCATAGAAAGAAGACACCCAAAAATCGGGCGTTGTGGCTCATTCCTATAATCCCAGCATTTGGGAGGCTGAGACAGGACAATTGCCTCAAGTTGGAAGCCAGCCTGGACTCTATAGTGAGTTCAAAACCAGCCTGAACTACATAGTGAGGCCCTGTCTCAAAAAAAGGAGAGATACAGAAATAGCCAACCCAGAGGTATACGTAGCAAGAGACAGAACAAGGAGGAAATGCAGACGGGGACAGGGGACCAGGTCAGCTGCCAGGCCACCTGCAGGGAATAGTGGAGAGCGGAGCAGGCCGGGTGCAGCTTGAGGTTCTGGAAGGGCTGGATCCGGGGCCGGCCCCAGCCCGTTGCCCCGCTCCACTCCACCATGAGCATGTGGTCGGTAAACATCTTCCCAAACACCAGGGGCTCAGTGGGGCTGGGCTTCCTTTGCGGCTCTTGTGTCATTTGCATTTGCAGGTCTGCAGCCTGGAAAAGATGGGGGTGGCTGGTTTCTAGGTTGAAAAACTACAGGTCCCGTGAGGCACTGGGGTCTCAGACCCACAGAGAAGGGACCAGATACCCCAGAAGCCTCCGGGAGATGGGGTTCCATTGCTTTCCTACCGCTGGGCCCAGCCTTCTCTCTCAGACCCAGGGTCGAGGCTCAGCCCCCTCCCTCACACTGGAGAGTCCAGGTCCCTGCTTTCACCTTGAAGTTGGAAGAAGCACATCTTCTGGGACCACACAGAAGCCAAGGAACAGGGAGAAGTTTTCGGGCCCATATCTGAATGGGGAGAGCAATGCGGGGGTGCTGAGGCCAGTGGAGGGAGAGAGCCAGGGCACCCCACCCTGCCTTCTTCCCTCTCCAGCTCAGTTTCTGAGGGCCAGTATTGCAATCCCAGTGCATTCTAGAGCATGTGCCCAGCCAACCCTCTCCATGGTGCCACGGGGTCATCCCTAGAAAGTGCCGAGCCAACCCCACGCACTCCTCCACATTGGGCAAAGTCGAGTGCAGGCACCTCCCACCCCAGAGAACTTTGGCCTCAGCTGAGAGCAGCTCAGACAGAGGACAACAGGGGAAGGTGTACAGGTGAGCGAGGACCTCGGGAGGGTCCCCAGCCCTGACCTTGGTTAGAAAAGTGAGGTCCTGAGGCCATGTTCCCCCAGAGCTCCAGGGTGCAGGCCGCAGACCCCAGCCTCCATCCTAGGAGTCCAGAGGCCCACACTTTCTGCAGTGAGAGCCCAGGGCTCAGATCTCCTGACCACCCCCACACACGGGGACACCATCGGTACAGCAGCTCCACTCCTGCAGACCTTGGCGGAGAGCTGGGACCACCGCAGTCATGCCGGACAGATGTCCACCACCCTTCCAAGAAGGGCAGGGAGACTGGGTTTGTCTGTGCCCAGCAGGGTGACCTTTGATGCCACGATGTGATATCCCTTTCCCAAGCCCTGCAGAGAGCCCTCTAGGACTTGAGCCTGAAGGAGATAAGAGTGGCCTCTCTGGTTCCCACCCTATGACCTGGGACAGCAACACCGACAAGTAGGTGAGTCCTGGGGATCCGGGGTTTGGGCTATCAAGCCTGTGATGCGGCCTGGAGGGTGCAGGACCCAAGGGCTTCTGGGATGATCAGGGTGCTCACGTGCTTGGCCTCTGCTCGGTGACTTGGAGCCCACCTGGCCCTGCGGCCGTGCATCTGCCCAGGTGGGGACGGGGAAGGCAGAGCCAGCCTAGGGCAGCCAGCATACGGTAGGCAGGACAGCAGAGGGCCCCAGGAGAGGTAAATAAATAAAAGGGACTGAGGGAGGGGAGCAAGGAGGAAGTGGGCAGACCGAAGAGACAAATGGAGGGCATAGGCTGAAAAGAAGAGAAATCAAGGCAAAAGTTCAGTGAATAGATCTGAGCATAAAGAGAGAAGCTAAAATGAAGGAGAGAAGCCGGGCGTGGTGGCGCAAACCTGGAATCCCAGCACTTGGGAGGTCAAAGCGGGAGGATCGCTGTGAGTTTGAGGCCAGTCTGGGCTACATAGCGAGTTCAAGGCCAGCCTGAAGTACGCAGTGAGACCCTGTTTCTTTTGTTCTTTTGCTTTTTCTTTGGTACTGGGGTTTGAACTCAGGACCTTGTGCTTTCAAGGTAGGCCCTGGTGCCACTGAGCTCAGTCCCTGGCCCTGAGACCTTGTTTCAAACAAACAGATTACAAAAAAAAAGGGCTGACAATGTAGCTCCGTGTGTGAAGGCCCTCAGTTTAATCCCCAGTAGAGACGGTATGGGGGGTGGGCAGACAGAGAGAGGAGGGAGTGCTCAGAGACATCCAGGAAAGGAGAGGCAAAACACATCACACAGCTGGTCATGACATCCAGGAGATTATAAACCCACTGGCCAGGGCCAGGGATTTAGCACAGTGGTTCCACCAGCTGCCTTGTAAGCGCAAGGTTCCAAGTTCAATTCCCGGTACCAAAACAAACGAAAAAGTAAAAACAAAAAAATAAACCCCACTGGCCACAGACACCTGGAGACCATGAAAAAAGCCATCTTCCCCCTCCTGGACACTCTTCTGAGGTCAGGGCTCTCCTCTGGGATCAAGGAGAGCACCACACCCTACGCTGTGGGGATGAGCCTGTAGCCATGCCTGGTAGCAGGGGGGCTATGGTGACAGGGTCAGTGGCCTGCGGCCCAATTAGAAATGAAGACTTTTATTTATTTATTTATTTATTTTCCACACTGGGCATGGAACTCAGGGCCTTGTGCTTGCCAGGCTGGTGCTGTGCCACTGAGCTACATCCCGGCCCCAGGCATGAAAAAGGTCAGGTGGTGCATGGGCCACAGCTCTGTAACCTGATGCAGCCTCCCTCATCCATGTCCTATCCAGCCTGCAGCCGCGGCCCCCAACACAGCCCATGAGTGCGACCATCAGAGTTTAGCTGTGTCCCTGTCAAAGCCCAGCACCGACCTCCTCACTCCAGGGCTGCCCGCATATCACAGCCAGGAAGGGTCCCGCCATAGTGTGGTGCTGTCCTTGTCTTGGCCGTGACTGTCCCTATCACAGCCCAAGCTGTCTCACGGAACCCCAGAACAGCTCCTGTCACCACCGCCCAGGCAGCACCGACCCAATCGCACCTAAAATGGCCTCGTTTGTAGCCTGGGGCTCTCGCCATCACACACCAGGACAGGGCCATGAGTCACATCCCAGCACCAGACTGTCCCTATCATTTCCCAGGACTGTCCCAACCAGTGTCAAGTCCTGTGTTGACACAGCTGAGGACTGTTCCCCCAGCCCAGAACCACCCCTCACGCCCAAAGCCCAGATTGGCCCTGTCCTCCTCTCCCTGGGTTTTCCCAGTCACTAAGACCCAGAGAAAGGCAAAGCCGGGCCTGCTGTACACCAGCCCCGGGTGCCAGGCTTGGATAAGTCAGGCGCAAAGCAAACAGGAACCTTTCTCTCAAGGTCACACTCCAGCTGTAAAGGGTTCTAACGCCCCAACTGTTTCCTTTTTCACTCAGAAACCTCGCTGTCTTGATCCTCTGCTCCAAAACCCTGCTGCTGGACATCACATCCCTAAGCCTAGGTGGTCCTGCTCTTGCCTAGAGGATCTGTCGCCTCCACAGGACAGAGGGAAGAGGCCTCTATTTCTAAACCAGGTGCTAAGCTTCAGATAAACATTCCGCATGTGTCTCCATCACCTTAGGTCCATGAAATACGAACTTGGGTCTGATACCAGTCAAGATCTGAGGCTGATCTCTGTGCATCCACCACCCCAGCTCTCAAAGGTCCTGGGCCCTCAGCCCCTGGCCCCAGGGAGGACTCCTCCTTAATTCTGCAGGGCTGCAGCCCCTGAATCACAAGCAGCCCCGTGCCTCTCCCATACAGCCTCTTCCTCTACGTTTCCCACTTCACATCTCCCAGCCCAGAGCCCTTTTCATCAATTACCTCCCCTACCCCATTACAGCCTTGTGCTCCCTCCAGAAGGGCCCTACCCTCCTAGGCGCCTCACTGCGGAACCCGAGGGCCAGGGGAGCTGTGCCAAGCCGGAAGTGCTGCGCACCAGTGGTCCTCCCGGAAGTTCGCCTCCCCAAGGTTCCTCACCCCCCAGGTGCTGGGCCACGAACCCACCTGCCCTAGTGCGGCTGCGGCCATGATCAGAGCGGCGATTAACTGTGCCGGGGGTGCGGCTGGAATAAAGACGTTGCGGCCACGCCCCACTCACGCCCCCTCTCGCAGGAGGACTGTGGAGGAGTGGTTCAGCCAGGCCTCCAGTTGTCGCAGCTGGGCCTTGCTGCTGAGCATTTGCACTGTTGGAGGAAGAAACTGGAAAACACCCTCCCTCCAAGCCCCCGCCCCTCCTTGGTCCCAGCCACACTCACGACCCGCAAGATCCTTCTGGTAATGTTTATTTGTTTACTTAATGCGTTTTTCACTAAGGATGTCAAATGCTGGCCAGGATAAGCAGCCCGGGGAAAAGCAGGGCAAAGGCAAAGAGAAGAAAGCTCTGTTTATCACACTATCTTTGAGAAAAGGAAGAGCTTGCAACACACAAAGAAATGGGACCTTGGGAAGTGGCCTGTGGTGGGGGGGTCTGGGGACATGAAGGCGGGGCTTGGCTCTGCGAATATGTAGCTTTTCTTTTTTTTTACCCCCCCCCACCGGGGCTCGAACTTAGGTTCTTGCGCTTGCGAAGCAGGCAGCAGAACCACTGGGCCAAATCCCCAGCCCTGTAGTTTTTCTTACCAATTAGAAGATAAGTGTGTTCTTTGTCCCTGAGATTAAAAACACCCAGGGGCCAGGGATGAAGCTCAGTGGTGCGCCACCTGCCTAGCAAGCGCAGTCCTGAGTTTGATCCCCGGGTGCTCGCTTGGGCAGCACATATACTGAGTTCGATCCCCGGTATTGGAAAAAAAAAAAAAAGAAGAAGCACCCAGGGTTCGCCTCCTTCTAGTACCTTTTATCAGTGAAGCCCCCAAAATTTCCTCTCTACCTGTCCCACTCAACCAGGAGCCTGAGATAACAGCCCCGTGCAGGAGTCCCTGGTGACCACCTTCATCAGCATCTCCCAGACTTCAGGGCTCCTGTGGCAACGAGTGACCCCTAGATCATGCTCCTCAGTCACCCACTGTTCCCAAACTCCTGCATCCAGGTCACTGTGACATTAAAACCCCATCTCTGCTCTGTCCCCAACATCCTGTCCCCGGATCATCGTGTCTCCGTAATTGTGGGACTTTCTTCCCAAATTCCACCCCATCCTCCATCATTTCCACAAATCCCGTTCCAGAATCACTGTCTTCCACCTCAAAAGGCCACAGGCCGGAGGGGCCAGATCACGGGCCCTCCCCC